TAAGTGATTCGGTTGTTGATATTCGTGACAGGTGTTTTGATTAAAACTGGTGCTTGCTTCCACATCAATTATTTGCATATAATATAGGAGCTTACGATCATATGACTGAAGAGTTTTTCCTGTCTAAAGTGTTTTCCGAATCAATGCAACCCACACACGTAATTCCATATTACTTCAGGGCTGAGACAATACCAAATAAAGAGGACATTACCATTACTACATTAGTCACATTAGATCGTTTTCCGGTATTTAACAAACTTGTTACAAATTACAAAGGTGATTATTTCTTATTTTGAAACATTTTTTATTTGAACGTATTTAATGAAAAATTCTTTTCTTCGGTGGACAGGACCAATCTCGGTAACAATCCACGTTAGTGATGATCAAAAATCACGTGATGAACTTCTTGAGGCGCTACATGTTCTATATAGCAGTAACCCATTCATGAAGGAATTTGTTGATGTCCATCTCGTTGTCGACAAATTTGAACGGCAGTTTAACATGTGGCGTAATGTTGCAAAATTTTTTTCGCGTACGGATTACGTTATGATGTTGGACGTTGACTTTCATCCATGTACAAATTTTCGAAAAACCATTCTGGAAACACCCGAGATAATGATGAAACTACAAGCTGGAAATACCGCTCTAGTCGTCCCAGCGTTCGAGTATACTGACTTAAAAGAAGGTCTTGACTCTACAAATTTTCCACAAAAAAAGGAGGAGTTATTGAAATTAGTGGATTCAAAAAGATTAGACATGTTTCATGCTTCATGGAAGCCAGGTCATGGTCCGTCAGATTATGCCCATTGGTACGAAGCTAATGAAATATACAAAGTTGCTAAATATCAATATCAGTACGAACCTTATGTTATCTTTCCTAGAAACAGCGTATGGTAAGGATTACCTTAAATTCACGGATTTACGATTAATGTTTAAGCTCTGAGCTAATATGCATATCGTTTTTGCGTTGGAAGGTGTGATGAGAGGTTTGTTGGTTATGGTGCAAATAAGGCTGCATGCTTGTTTGAGTTATATCTTTCTGGAGTAGAATATTGGGTGCTTCCCGAGGACTTTTTGATTCATCAAACACACAAATATCTCGAAGACGCGAGAAAACATGAGGTGAGTTTGATGAGCTTGGGAAAACCCGATTTTAAAGGATTTCAAATTTATTCATTGATAATTTGAATTTATAGCGAAGATTTAATAGGAAACTGTATGAAAACTTTCGTGAAGAACTTTGTTTTCGATATTCTAAAAGTTTCATTCTAAACGGTGAATGGGATACGCCAAAAGCAAATAATGTGAAAGAAACTTGTCAAAAGATTCGCGGATTCTCCCAAGTTATTAAACATTTTACAACTTAATTTTTAATTTTTCAGGCCTCAAATTTGGAAATTGGAGGTTTCAAGACATGACAACTTAGAGTCATTCTTTTGTTTATACTTTTAAGATAGAATAATTCGGATTTAAATCATTTCTTTTAAATTTAATAATCATGCAATTTATTTATATTAAGCTGCAACAGTGATTTTAAAATAAAAAGTAGTTTATCTAATTATTCCCTGGTGAATAAGTAGTTTATCTAATTATTCCCTGGTGAATAAGTAGTACAGTAGAATAAATATCTAGTATTTTCCTTATCTATATCAGATCTAACACGTTACTGGCAAATGTATAGTATACATATATATTTTTGACTTTGTGATATACAGTATTTGTAAATTTGTGTTAAGTGTAATATTTTGAAATTATAAAACTCTTTCCATAGTGTTATGACATTAGTTAAAAAATGTTTATTTAGCATAATATTATCCATATAACAATTATCAAAAAAGTAAATTATTTTATAAAATAATAATATAAATAAGTCATTAATCTCTTTATACCATATAATTTAATGCAAATAATATTTTTATTATATAATTTTGCATAAATAAATTATTAATATATTTCTAATATACAGTATAGTTCAATACAATAAATTATTAATATAAAACTTTTTCTACTAATTTTCTAACCATATACAAAAAAAAAACAATATATTTCTTTATTAATAAAGTCTTAATTTTATCCTTAAATCAACTTGAAGTTTTATTTCAAAAGTTATTTTTATCTTCTTTCTCTTGTTTATATTCTTCTTCAAATAAAAACTTGATTTTCAATAATTTAGAAAAATCAAGAAACATTTTTTTTTATCTATGATAAGAAGGTTTTACAAAAAAGAAGAACTAACAATATAATACTTAAAATAAATTTTATATTAAAGCATATATAAGCATATTCATAGATATTTTTGCAGCGAATAATGATAAACATTAAACCTTATTTTTAATATACTTGCTTATTATCTTTTACTCTCTTATAATTAATTGTTTTTTTTTTGAAAAATTTTATTTACTATACCTCAGTTTGATCTTGAATTTTGAGTAATACAACTCATTGTAAAATATAATTAATAAATATAAAATATAAATAAACTTTTACTAATTATTTTATATATT